GACTACTACATGATTTTTTCACATTAAGTTTGTGCAAGTCAGACAAAGATGCATTGCTACTAATGTCCATTGTCAAACTAATAACTGAAACAGTTCTCAGAAGAAGGGTTTAAGTCATATGAGATGAATCAAACTAAACAAAGCCCCAAACTCTTGACATATGCGGGGGGGAAAAAAAAACCACCAAAAAAGTTTTAGTATTTTGTTGTTGCAAATCAACACCTTTTCTGTCTTTTCAAATAAAGCTACTTTATAAATTCAGACTATATATGGTCTTAGTTTTAAATCTGGAATTTAAAAATTTTTTGAGGATCAATGTTCTCTCCTTTTATAAAAATTATTTTGGGAGTAAAGAGCTAAGAGTTGGCTGAGCTGTTTCATGTGTCCTATCTGTTGTAGTAATTTTTTTCTTGTAAGAAATATTGCTGTCACTGTATAAATAGTCACAGTATAACTGGACTATGCTTATTTACTTGGGAGAATTAGGTTTGTGATGCTGCTGCCTGGTACTAGTTTGTTCTCTTGCTGCATTTGTCTCTGAGGATTTAGGGATTCTGGGGGAGATGACAGGAGTAGCTGCAGCAGTCCTTACATGGAAGTTCCTTCAGAGATTGCTTTATTACTTGTGTTTTGTGTGTATTTCCTATCTACAAGGTTTCCTCATATCTCCTTTAGTGGTTTATTGCTTGGGTTTTGTTTCCTGTTTATGCACAATGTAATTTGCACCATATGTGATTTTTAGAAAAGTGTATCTAGAACAGACTGCATGCCCTAATTTTTTTTATTTGTATTTGGCTTTTTTAATGTTAGGCTTTGAATTTAGAGAACTTGCTGTCTTTTAGATTGCTCTTTTAGCTTTCTTGGTCTTTTTTCTTTCTATAAAAACTTATGTATTATACTTACAGGAAGTGTGATTAGGAAAGCAAATCAAGTCATGAAATCTTCCAACTTCCAATTTCTTTATTTTTGTAAAGGCTCTTGGAGGATGGCTTTGTATAAATTCACTCAAACGAAATACATTATAAATACATTATAATCCTGGAAATTTTGATACAAGTTGTGCTTTTTTTTATAATAGGGCCCTTTCTAAAGAAAAAAAACAAAGCAACAACAAAAAATGGTGCTGTAAATGATAAAAAATAATAGGCCAGGCCTGTTAATTGAACAGTTTTTGTAGTGTTCTCTTCTGTGTCTTGACTTGAAAGGTGTTTTCAAATCATAAAATCAAAAATGGCTTTCTCTTTCAGCTTTGGCTGAGGTGTTTGGTGCATTTCACTCAATTAAACACTTTTCCTTAGATACTGCAGAAGGAGTAAGTGGCTTTGTCATGAAGACTTAATTCCTGGAAATGTTATCAAGCAGGTTTCATCCTCCATTATAATATTTGATTCTTAGCTAACTTGGGTTAGGGTTATACTTTTTTCTTTTGCTCTAAATCATGGTAATAATGCTCACATCAAATGTAATAGTTTTGATAAGGTTATAAAAAGTCATGTTTTCAAGTTCAAAGAGTTATCCTATGTTGAAAAAAATAGAAAAACAGAGTGATACTTGTATATTAGCTAACAAAGTATGAACTACCAACTTTAACTGAAAATCATCACCAAAAGGCAGTTGGTGAAACTGCTCAGAAGCCAAAACTTTAGTTGAAAGTTGAGATTCTGATACTATATATCATTCTAGAACCCTGATGGAAAAAAAAAAAAAACCTTTTCTGTGCCTTAATCTGGTCTTCTGCAGAATAAAACCATGAACATACTTGTTCTCATTCACTGGCAATCTTCAAATATGTCAAAAACTTGGGACTACATTGTTCCTGTGCAGATAACTGGATTACCAGCACTTGGACTGATTGATCAAACTTGCCCTCTTCTATGTCTTTACTTCATTCACCTTTCACAGGATAACATTTACAATAAGTAAATATCCTTAAAACTAGGATAGGGTTAGTCCTACAGAGTAACTTTTCCTTGATGGCAGATGTGAAATTCCAGTTGAAAGTGCTTCAGCCTTCATATTTTTAATATCTCTGTGTAGAAAACTCATTATATAGAACCACAGCAGTATTTAGTAATGCTTTAAACAATCAGTGGAAGACTTTAATTCATGAGTGTTCTTGCATGAAAATACTGTAAGTACAGTTACAATTATGGTGAAGTCTCTCTCTCAAAAGCTTTTATCTAGTCTGCCCCTGATTTTTGAATGTATGTCTCAATCGTAAAAAAACTTAAAAGCAAGTGCTGCATTGTTGTCATAAACACTGAGACTCCTTACTACCCAGGAGCCTGGTGCAAATGAGGACCCTGTTGTGTTGTAGGCTGTTCCAACATGTGGGATAATTCAGTTTATATCTCAAAATGTTTGCAATCTGACAGATCTTCTCTCTGATTTACCAGCTTTGTTATCAGCTGCTAGACAGGCCTCCTTGCTCAAGGTTACTACCCTGCGAGGAGAGGGAGGTATAAATTTTGTCCATTCTTGGCCATCACCATTCACACCTGGGAATTAAAGTTTTTATTGGTACTGTTAAACTCAGTAAAACCTCTCTCTTAGATCCTGCCATGTATGGCCTATTATGACAATGATGAAAGAAGAGAGTGTGGGGATAAGAGGTTTGGAACATAATGCAGGTCATCCAGTCACAGTTTTCTGTGCATATTGCATGGTTCGACAATGGCAATGTTGCCAGGAACAGCATTTTATTTTGTTCACTTATCTATCTCTCCTCATCACTTTCTCAAATGTCAGCCAAATGAAATTCTGGCACACTTTTCCACAAAAGACTAGGGGTAGGTTCACTTCACATCTTGATGATTCTCAGCTTTTACCAAGTTACTGAGTTTTTTCTGAACAATGTCTCATTTTTCCAATTAAACGTATTAACTTAGACTACTGTACCTTAAGTTTTGTCTCCAAGATGTAATACCCTTCTGCAAAAGGTCACCCAGTTCTCTAGCATCAGTGGATATAATCTGATATCTTGCTTCTTCCTAGTGTAGAGGTTCCAGAGAGAGATACAAACAGGAAACGTCCGTGATCTGCCTGGAAAGAGAAGCAGCGTGGCAGGAAGGAGCAGTACGATAAAGGAAGCACCAACACTCTTCAGACTGCTAATCCCCCTTGTGCCTCTGCTGCTCCATAGCATCCATTAAGGCTCCACAGCTGATCATTACATCTGCTGCTGACACAGGCAGCTGTACTGTATCTCATTCTGACAGGTCCACCAGCCCTGTCCTGTGTGCCACCACACCCTGCAGATCAAGCAGCGCTCTTTATGTTAATCTTGAGGCCTGTTGAAATGGCAGTGACTGCTACACCACATGAATGGAGTGTATTCAGATATGAGAAAATCTCAACTCGCTTTTGGTGTGACCAACAGCTGGTTTTTTCAGTTAAACTGCCTCTTGAAGGTTTACTTTTTTGTAAGGTTCTGCTAGGTGTCAATCCACAGCAGTATTGCTACTCAAGGCACACTGTTGTTGTTCTAGTGCTCAAAAGAAAGTGTTCTTCAGTAGCACAAAATATCAATATTTCAGCAACAGCAACTAATTCCAAATAGTAGTTAAGACATTACCAGGAAGTACTGGAAGAAATTTTTAATTTATGCATTTGTGAAGCTGACTGTGTGATAATTGCACTGCATTTTCCTTTCTTCTGTTGTAGAAGAAGCATATCTTTCTAGGTGGTGCAGAACAGTTCAGCTTTTATTGAAGTTGATATAAAAGTGTTTAGAAGCATGTGGAAAGATCACAAGATCAGGCAGATCTGCATCCTTGATGCTGTTATTAAAAAACATCCATCATGGGAGTTCTGGTTCTCCCAAAGAGGTTGTTGGGTACATTTCGTATTAATTCCTTCTGGTTGAGATGCTGGAAAATGTGCAATTAGAAATAAAGTAGCCAAATGTATATATTAATCTTTATAATGGGTAAAAATACAGCATTTCTAAATCATGTCTCAATGTGACTAGAAGAGACTATTTCTACAGCATCTGGAATTTACAACAGGGAAATAGAAATACGTATAAAATTGTCAAGAAAAAAAATGGTCAGTTTTTAGTTTCAGTAAAAATTTAATGAATTCCTCATCACAATAAAATTAAGCACTGTATGGATTGTTTTCATGACTTGAGAAATATGCACATTATTTCACAGCCAATATTGTTTAAACTTTTGAAAACAAAAAGTTGTGCCTAATTTTGTACAGCAGCTTAGTTCCCTCATGTTAGGAGAGTCTGAACTGGCTATAACTATTGCCTGCAGCACAATGTTCACTTCACCCTGCAGGAACAGAGCTGCTGCCTGTGAGAAGCAGTAATTTCCTCTCTGGCTGATAGAAGAGCTGTTGAAGACTGTGCTCTACCAAGATGAACAAAAGTGATGTCAGCACTACCTCTTAAGTTTTCAGCCTCCTTTGAGTTACTTTATGATCTGCAGTTTGGGCTTTACTGTTCCAGAGAATGGATTGCTGCACAGTGCCTTTTTGGAACAGGGACATTCCTGTACTTATTTTTCCAGAAAGAGCTGAGGTTTTGACTGTATTTCTTTGAGAATGTGTTTGTACTGCATTGGAATACCAGTCCACATAACCGGTCTTACTTGAACAGACAGATATGGGGCCAAAACGAGTCTCCATTTATTTGAGAGAGACACTGTGAATGTATAGAGAATATGGGTGTGAAATGGCAGCAGGGCCTAGCAGAAATGTGTATGTATGGTCACGTTACTAATGGCAGACATCAGTCTTTCCTGACATTCTTCTAATTGAGATATAAACGTGGGACTTCAGTGAATGTGATTATGTAATGATAAATCTTGTACTGATCCCCTGCGAAAAGTGAGGAAAAACAGCTAATAAAGAATGTGCTGATAACAGAGAAGCAACAGCCTAATGCTACTGAAAAATACCATATCAGACATTGAGAAAAGTACTTTGCTGTCTGAAGAAAGCTTAGCTATATGAAATGTATGTTGTTGATGTTCCCTTATTTTCTTTCTAAGGATCGACGCTTTAATGATGAGATTGACAAACTGACTGGGTACAAGACAAAGTCACTCTTGTGCATGCCCATAAGAAACAGTGATGGAGACATTATTGGTGTTGCCCAAGCAATAAATAAGACTCCAGGAGGTGCCCCATTTTCTGACGATGATGAAAAGGTAAGGTTACCTTTACTTTTGCGTGCTTTCTAAATCTTTTCTCTAATTCAGTAGACTTGTCTAAAGAGACTTAATCTAAATTAGTAAATAGCACATCATTTGTGTTTATGATGTTTTTCTGGAAGTACATAGCAAAGTGTACATCTTTGTTGTTTTCAACAGAAAATGTAATAGAAATGAGAAGGAAAAAAGAAAATAGAAAATCTGTTCTGTAAATGTCTGAGTTCCTCTGTCTAAAACTTCAATTTAATTTTATGCAGACTTTTTTTATGTGGTAGACCTTAGTAGGAAGACATTTTTTATTTTTGAAAACTTCACCTGTAAGATTTAGTTTGGGGGGAAATTATCACAGAGATACTCCTAAGCTTGCTGACTCCAAAAATCAAGACCTTCTCTTAGTACTTTCTATGGTATAAATAACTGTAGCATATTAAAAAAAAAAAAAAAAATTAGAGGAAATTATGCATATATATAAATCTGTTATTCTAAAATATTTGAGATTTTCAAATACTAAAGGACAAAGAGGATGGGAAGGAACACCAGGTATGTGTACCTCAGGTGGAATTTGGGGAGTAAAGTGAGCTCAAAAGGCAGGAAAGTAGAAGTATCTGCAAAAAAGGAGCTTGAATTAAAGACAGAGGGAAATAAAAAATGCTGCTGTTGAAGGCAAATATATTCAGCTGACCTTGGAGGGAAAATGTGTCACGAAGCCAAAACATGACTGGGGAAGAGAATGACAGAGGGCAGCAAACTGGGGAGGAACAGAACTGCAGCTCTGTCAGCCCAGGAAAGAGAAATGGAATCTCCTTTAAGCACGTAATAGGGAACTACTCTTCTGTGTATTGAAATAGCATTGTATTTGGGTTCAAAAAACTTCCATTTTTGTGGAAGTGTAGAGGCACACTTTTCCTCCAAAAAGCTCTTTATATTGATTCAAATGCAGTTAATGTTACACACCCTTTTTTTTCTTTTTTAATAAAAATAATTATAACTCCTGTTTTTTTTATTTCTCCAAGGTATTTGTGCAACTGATTTGGCATAGTGCTTTAGACTGAATTAACTGAATTTAAGTTTAACTCTCAGTTTTCAGATGGTACCTTATCTGGAGTTATCAAGTACTTCTTAAATTGCTTCTTTAGAAGCTGTCTAAACTTGTGAAACTGTAGGTTGCTTCTGAGTTACTTTTGGTCCAGTGACTACCAAATATTTTCGAAAAATCAGCAAATTTCCCATACTTTGTCAGCTTTTTTTTTTTTTTTTAGTAATTTATATCACTGTTATAACCCTGTATGTTAGAACTCTTCAAGAATATATTGAGTGGGCTCTGACATGTAGATTTTATGGAAAGTTAAATGAGAACATAACCATCATTTTGCCCTATAGATCCTGGATTTAATGAGGCCTGGCAGTCCATGTGCTGTTATTTCAAAACCCATGCTTTTAAGTTTTTTTCACTCAGCTGGTAACCTAAAAATCATGATATAGCTCTGGGAAGCAAGAGAGCACATACTTTCAGGAGAACTGTCTTGCAGGATTAGCAAACAGGTTTTTTTAACCATTATATCAACATAGACGTTTGTGAGGAGAGGAGGCAAGCGAAAACTGAGAAACCCTCTTCAGAATAAGAAAAAAAAACTTTGGTAGCCTGGGTATTGAGGTGGCTTGTGCAGAAAAGCCTGATAAGTGTCTGGCAAAAGACCTATGTGCAGTTTTGTGTTGATGTTACACTTTCTGACAATCAGCAGATTCAGAATGATTAGAAAATGCAAATGTAAATTAGCAGTCTTTTTCCTACCCCTGAAGCCCTCTCAGAGAAATGTCTCAGAGAATTTGAGTCTGGCTCTTGTTTGCAAGTGTCGTTCCTCTCTTAGTGTTGTGCAAAGCAATTAAAATAATCTGTTGGAGTGTTTTTATAAAACGGCAAGACGATACTGTATAATGAAATGTCTCTTGGCGGCACTGCTGTCTTGAGTCAATAGGAAACAAAGACTTACGTTTTCAATTAGAATTAAGTAGATGCTAGCATCATTTTTATGTACTCTTAGTTGTTTTCAGGAAGTTAATAGCAAATAAAATATTTAAGGTTTGAGGAGTTTTTAATGCTCTCAAGCTGTAACCAAGTTTATATTTTGCGGTACCTAAAATGGAGTATTATATTGCAAAGTTCTTCTGGTTTTGTTTTTCATGGCAAATTCTCAGGGTTTTCTTTTACATTGTACATTTACATTCACAGTGTCAAAAAGCACGGCACTAAGAACAAATAGAAGTGAATTTTTCACATTTAATATTGTTTCCCACTGCCAAATTTCTTTTCTCCTTAGGCATGTTTCAGCCAATTCATTGTTTAAGTTCAGAATTAGATGACAGCTACAGGCATGAAAGAAAGATGCTCAGTGTCACAACACATTTTGTCACCCCAACATTAGTGGCCCAGTTGAACAAACTGATTTTGGAGATTTTCAGTTTGATACAAACAATATTGGAATACCTTATTACCCACAAAAGCCATCACTATTGCACTCTGTTGTGTAATTGGTAACTTTTTGGAAAAATAGCAGGTGATACACTTTTACATGTATTTTGTAACTGAAGAGACCAATTCTTTTGCACAGACAAAGAGCACAAAGATAAAAGCCCTGAACCCTTGCAAAGAACCGTGCACCCAACATGCATTCCCTGTTCTGTGCTGAAGATTCACTTAAGTGTATGTGCTGTTTGCTGGTGAGTCATACTTGTTCCAGGACTGGTGAGAAAACCTAACAAGAGTTTGACAGTCTGTGGTTTAGATTATTGTCTGCCCTTTAGAGTCTTCTGAAATTCAGTGCCCAAACAAATCTAGTCCTCCATCAGAGAGGCTTAACAAACAGCAGCAGCAGCGCCATGGTCACTTAAATTGGAATCCTGGTTCTCCCTGCCGCTGACATCCTCCTCGTCTGAAAGAAGTGAATTGACTGCAGGGAAAGTATCCAGGGCTGCCATCTCAAATTAAACCCTGCTGGTTTTGCTGAAAACCAGTAGTTTGAATGCAGTGAGACCTGGGAGGGGGAAGTAAGAACTGGATTTGGTTGTCTGTGCTCTGTGGCTAGTTTTTTTAAGAAGTATATATGTCTGTAGATTCCAGGATTTATCTGATGTGTCTTTGGCTTGTGGGGGCTTGAAGATAAGTGTTCTCATGCTCCAACATATTATTTCTTACATTCCTAATAGCAGCCTTGTGATTCTGAATTTTCCAATTTATTGTGTTCTTCTCAGTCCATATTTGTTAAAGCTTAAATATATCCTACATCAGGTCTGCCATAGTGATGAATGATTTCCAGGGATTTTGCAGTACCTGCTAATTCATTTTCCGTGAGTTTTTGCATGATGAGCTTAGAGTCATGCTGGCAAATAGCAATTTCAAAGTCAGTAAGGACCATTCCTTTATCTTAGGGAAGTAATCAACTGTAAATAAAACTACTAGGAAAGGAAATGATCCAGAACAGGCAAGCATCTCTGGCTGCTGTGAAAGCGATAACTCCAGCTCTATAAATGTGTGGAATTTACAAAAAAAAAAAAAAAGTCACCTGAAAATAAATGATGGATCCACTACAAAGGAACATGAGAAACAAATTAGATACAGAATTTTTTTGTGTGTTCCATATATTGCAGCATGTGACAACCTTCTGCTAATACTTGCCTTGGTTCTCTGGCATGGCTCCATGAGACTCCAGAGTGAGACTCCAAAAGCTATTATTTAAAAATGGCATAATCCTCAAAGGTATCATGTGGCCCATATGTCACTCGCCTCCCAGTGCCAGAGACAAATTTGCTGAAAGAAGACTGAAAATAACGAAGATATTTGAAGGATGAAGGTGCTGAAGCACCAGAGCTATCTGGGAAAACTCTAATGGTCTATTAGGCACACTTCTCGAAATGTACTTGCTGCACAAATCTAAATTAAAATAAATCACAGTAACTGAACTGTCTTGCTGGGGGAGTTAAAAGCAATTTGCCACTAGGATATTTGCTTTATCAAGGCAGCTTAACATCACTGGTTTGTAACCAACAGCACAAAATGACTGTCATGACAGACATTTGCATGGACTTCTTTCAGTTTTGTATACATTCAGCCATGCTTGCAAGTTAAGCTGAAAGTCTAGATTTCTTTTTAATTACAGAACTTGAAATGCACTCAAAACTTACAAACTTCCCTTTATCAGTACCTCTGTTTTGAGACTGGCAGTTAATATTTGAATTGGATATCTTTATCTCTGAGGTAAACCTGGAAACCTGCCTAAGATGCATTGCAGGGATATTTCAGTATATATATTTTTTCAAACTATATATTTTTTCAAATATAAATGTGTATTTTCCTAGACTCGTGGGCTAGTTTGTCATTGTGTTCTTATGGTACATATTACACTAAATTTTTGATACTTGCTTGATGCCTCTAGATGTTATCATAAAACAAATAAACAAATGGTCAGATTTGGTATTAGGAAGGGTTTCTTCTATAGAACAGCTCAAGACAAATTGTCATGTTCGGTTTTTTTTGTGGGGACTGGAGTTTTGTTCTTACCTTCCTTACTCTCCCTATTTTACAAGACATCTGGATTCCTCCTGCAATTTCCAGCAAATTCTGAACCTGTTGGTTCTTCCCATATTGTCTGTGCTTGTATCTTCTTAATTAATACAGAGAGACTTCAATAAATAAGAGCTCTTACCTGTAAACCTTGACTGTCATTTAGCTAATATTTGTAGTATTTGACTCAGAGCTCACTAAACTAGACAAAAGAATCTCTGCTGACTTAATGGGCTTTTAAAAATCAAGCTTCTGTTCCTTTCTAACATAGGAACATTTAATTAATGCAGACCCCCAAGTCTATTTATGAAGCTGAAATTCATCCATGTCAGATCACTGAAAAGAGATTGGTTAAGGAACAGTTTTGGCTCCTGTTGCTTCCACTGGAGGAGACAGGTTCACAGTCGACTGTGCTGCTTTCCTTCATGCTTTTTTCAGT